TTCTATTCCGGTAGTTACTCCAATCGTCGACTCATGGCCCGGGGTCATGGACCATGTTCCAGGTGAAACCTGGGGAAAACTGAAAAATTCAGTGTATCGATTTTAAATACGGTGCAACAAAAGATGTTTATTTTATTTAACCACCCTGAATTTGGCAAAGATTTTTTACGAGAAGATGGCCAACTCTGAAAAGAAGATCGAGAGTTGATGCGACAGTTGTCGCATGCAACGTAGATGCATGGAAACATTGCAGACTTTTCTCTGCAAGGAACTATATCCCAATGGATTGTGCACAACACACTTGTACAATGTGTATAGTCCGATCAAGGACGCAAAAATGTTGTGGGTATTCCTTGGATCGCAAATATAAGACGGGAAGATGCTAGGAACAAAGAGAAATTTGTGTTGGCCGCCTTCCCTGGATTTTAAGATGGTGGATTTCCAAAAACGGTGATCAGTCAAGTTTCAAGATCTACAACTTATCTTGCATGAAATTCATGCAGAAGGTATGTCTCTGAGTGAGTCTCTTTCAGGTAGCAGTATGATTGAAAATTACGCTGTCTTGGAAGGGATTTCAAAGAATTAATTAAGCACAAACGCAAAGAGATGTCACTGGAGGACTTGATTGTTCGGTTGAGGATTGAAGAAGACAACTGTGGGTCCTGAAAGAAAAATGGCGTAATCTGATGGAGGCTAAGGCTAATGTGGTGGACAGAAAGCCTAGCACAACAGTAAGAGAGGAATATCCTGGTGAGAGTTCAAAAGGCAGCTCTGGTTCTAAGACAGTAAATTCAAAACTTCACAGGCAAATGCTATGTGTGTAACAAAGCAAGGACATCGTGCCAAAGATTGTTACAAGCTGTCGGACTCAACGAACCTTGGAAAAAGAAACTCTGCTCAAGCCACATAACAGAGGAAGAAAATCTTTTGTGCAATGATTTCGGAATTACTGTTCCGGAATGGTGTCTGAAGTGAAATTTGGTAAACAACCCCAAACATGGGTGGTGGACACAGGTGCTTAACACCGTCACATTTTGGCTCTGGAGGTATAAAATATGTTCTCCACATATCAAATGTGTGGATAACGAGGAACAACTTTATATGTGGCAATTCTTCTACCTCAAAGGTGAAGGCAAGGGACAAGTAGTACTCAAAGATGACATCCGGCAGCAAAGAGCTTACTTGAAAGAAGTGCTGCATGTACCAGAAATTCGAAAGAACGCTGGTATCTGGGTCATTGCTGAGCAAGACGGGTTTCGCTTGTGTTTGAATCTAACAAATTTGTACCTCACTTAAAATGGGATGTAATGTGGGGAAAGGGTACTTTGAGCGATGTGGCTCTTTAAACTAAATGAAGCAGTGATTCGCTATTATCTAATAGATTAACACATCTTCAGCTTACTTTGTTGAGTCTTTTATATATGGTGGCATTGGTAGATTAGGACATGTTAATTATGGTACCTTGCGTAGATTAATTAACTTAGAATATCTACCGTAAATTTTTCATTTTGATACAAATCATAAAGTGTGAAGTATGTGTTGAATGCAAAATTGACTAAGGCATCTGTTTAAGTCAATTTGAAAAGAAATACTGAACCTCTGGATCTAATCCATAGTGAATATATGTGATTTGAAATTTTTCAAACACGAGAGGGAAAAATATTTCATCACCATTATTGATGATAGCACTCGGTATTGCTTTGTTATACTTGTTGCCGAAGCACAAGATGAAGCCTTAGAAAAATTTCATAGGAATTTAAGGCTGAGGTTGATAATCAACTTGCAAAGAAATAAAGGTCTATAAGGAGTGACAGAGGTGGTGAATTATGAAGCACCATTTCGGTGACTTATGTTCACAATTAGGAAATAATACATCAAACCACTGCCCACCTTATACACCTCAGCAAAATGGAGTTGCCTGAGCGGAAAAAATCGCACTTTAAAAGAAATGAGAATGCAGGTTAATAAGGTTCAGGTTACCTCAAGAACTTGTGGGGGGAAGCTATTCTTTTCTTTCCGCTATTATATTCTCAATAAAATTCCTCATAAAACACACCTTGAACTGTGGAGAGGTCGAAGCCTTCCTACAAATACTTGAAGTGTGGGGTGCTTGGGCAAGGTAGCATACAGAACCGAAAGGGTTTAAAATTGGACCCAAGTACTGTTGATTGTATTTTCATAGGATATGCAAACAACAAGGCAGTTGCCTATCGGTTTTAGAACATAAAAAGTGAGAACATAGAAGATTTCATGTTAAATACAATTATCGAGTCTAGGAATGCATCATTTTTTTGAAAATGTTGTTTCCTTGTAAATTGACACAAGAGTCTAAAAGGACATATGAGCTGCCTTGAACAATGATTCAAAGGGCAAGTTTAGGAAAACCCAGAGGAAAAAGTCGAGAAGGAAACCCCAGACGTAGTAAAAGAGCTAGGACAAAAAAATCTTTCGGTCCTGATTTCTTAACTACTTACTGGAAGAGGAGCCTCGAACTTTCAAAGAAGCAATGTCTACTCCTGAAGCTCCTTCCTGGAAAGAAGCTATCAATAGTGAAATTGAATCAATCTTGCAAAATCTATCATGGGAATTGGTGGATCTTCCACAGGTTGTAAGCCTCTTGGCTACAAGTGGATTTTTAAAAGAAAGATGAAGCCGGATGGTTCAATTGATAAATACAAGGCGAGACTTGTAGTTAAAGGTTACAGGCAAACTGAAGGAGTAGATTATTTTGATACTTACTCACCTGTAACAAGAAATAACGTCTATTCGAATGTTAATAGCTATTGCAGCTTTGTATAATCTTGAGATCCATCAAATGGATGTTAAGACTGCATTCTTGAATGGCGATTTGAATGAGGAAATTTTCATGGAACAACCAGAAGGGTTCGGTTCCAGGGCAAGGGAAAAAGTGTGCAAACTTGTGAAAGTCTCTTTACGGTCTAAAACAAGGCACCCAAACAATGGCATGAAAAATTTGACAATGTAATGATGTCAAATGGATTTAAAATTAATGAATGTGATAAATGTGTTTATGTGAGAAACACAGAAAAGGATATTGTCAATTGTTTGCCTATATGTAGATGATATGCTCATCTTGGTAGTAATAATGAAATGATCAAAGCTACCAAGAAAATGTTGAACTCTAAGTTTGACATGAAAGTATGGGGATAGCAGATGTTATACTTGGAATAAAAATTAAAAAGACATCTGAAGGATATACCTTTGTCTCAAGGACATTATGTTGATAAAATACTTGAGAAAATTTAACAAGCATGACGATCGTCTCGCTAAGACCCCTATAGATGCTAATCTTCATTGATGAAGAATATGGGTGAAGGTGTATCACAAGTAGATACTCCCTGGATCATCGGAAGCTTAATGTACCTCATGAACTGCACTCGTCCAGATTTACATAGTGCAAGTAGCAGATTAAGCAGGTATACTAGCAATCCAGGAACAGACCACTGGACAGAATAGTTAGGGTACTTAGATATCTAAAGTAATACTCGAACTATGGGCTGAACTATATGAGATATCCAGAGTTTTAGAAGGTATATAGTGACGGCTAATTGGATCTCAGACACTAAAGACTCTAAGTCTACCAGTGGTTATGTCTTTACCTTGGGAGGTGCAGCAGTCTCATGGAAGTCAACCAAATAGACATGCATTGCAAGGTCCACAATGGAGTCCGAATTTATTGCTTTAGATAAAGCAAGTGAAGAAGGAGAGTGGCTTCGTCAATTTCTAGAGGATATCCCAATGTGGCCAAAACCTGTGCCAGCCATTTGCATTCATTGCGATAGTCAAGCAGCAATGGCAAGAGCACAAAATAATATGTATAACGGTAAGTCTCGTCATATTCGACGTAGACACAATACTGTTAGGCAATTGCTCTCAAATGGAATTATCTCCATTGAGTACATAAGGTCAAGAGATAATATCGCGGATCCGTTAACCAAAGGTTTGACCAAAGAGCAAGTTTTAACATCATCGAGGGGAATGGCCTTTTTAACTAAAGAGTCACTTTAATGGCAACCCAACCTAGCTGACTGGAGATCCCAAGATCTAGGTTCAAAGGGACAACCGAATTATGTGTGACTCATTAGTATCACTAAGGGAAAATTTTTCCTACCCTTTCCTATGATGACATAGTGATGTCTGCAGCGCTAATCAGGTTAAGCTTTGCTTTTAATGATATTCATAACTTGGAAATCCAAGTGGGGTATAGCAGAATACTCTTAATGAAAATCACCTATATGAGTGTGAACTGGGCCGGTTCAATGAGAATTGATAAAAGGCTGAATTCTTTAGAGCACTCAAGAAAACCAGGTATTGTCCAGGGCCAAAATGGGCACAACCGATAGAACCAGATTGTGTAAGGAAATAAAACTGTGTGACAGACTGTTGTCTCGGTTTACACCAATGGCAAAATAGTTCAAGACATCATGTTCACTAATCAGCCAGTAAACCCGATCGTCTTTCACAAGGGAAGGTTCAAAGCTAAAAGCTACCTATCCTTTGCAGGATATTTTCAGTTTTGCACTCTCAGTGTCTGCATGTTGTTGCATATTCGTTTTCAATTTCATTCATGTGGGGGATTGTTAGAGAAATGGTTTTCACCATTAATTTCCGGTAAATTTGAGCTTTTATTAATGTAGATCCCACACCTCGATTTGGGTGGGTCCGAGTGGCAACACATTCCTTGCCATGTGGTGAACAAGAATATATACTCAAGTGGTCGAAACCATTTACGAGTGAATGAGAAATTGATACCGTAGTGAGCCTCATAAACATGAAATGTTTTGTGTGGTTCCCATGAGTTGGTATCTAAAACCTTGTCCCACATAGGAAACTTAGAATAGTTTCAAAATGTTTATAAGCTCTAAGTTGGAGACCTTGGGTTGGGCCCCAAGGGGTACCCAAGTTTTGTAGGAGGAGGAGTTATGAACAAACCCAAAACCATCACCACACGCGTGCACCGCCGCCGCCGTCCGGCCGGGGCGGGCGCGGGTATGGGTTTGGGTTTTACCCGTTCTTTATTTTGCTCCAAAGTTATTTGAATTTTTTCAAATAATGTTCTGCGGGATAAAAACAAAATTCAAAAATCTGAAATTTTGAATTTACAATTTTCGGTTGCAGATTTCACTCCTTCTCCGACAGACGCATCTCCTACTTGGCACCTGTTCTAGATAACGGTTTTCTATTTCTGGAATAGGCACTTCTCAGCCTATATATATCAGTTCTCCATTCCTTTGAATTAGTACCTTGAAAAAACCCGAAACTGTATTCTCCTTTCTCTGGTTTTGTTCTTCTTCATTTTTGCATCTTGTGTGAGTTCGGAAAATAAAAAACATTCTGGTTCGCTGTACAAACAAGGTTGCAGTGCTGCATCTGTTTGGGGTGATTGTTGAATCCTGGAGGCAGGACGTCCATTATTCTCGAGCACCTAGGAGAAAACGAATTTCTGTCTTAAAGACACAGTGTCCATACACTGGCCTCAATCACAAATTTGTTCTTAGTTTGATTTTTCAAGAAAGTTGTAAGTTCTGTATTTTATTTATTATTCTGTTAAGGGAAAAATTACTTGATCTGTTTCTGTGTATTATTCTGTCTGTATGTTATATCTGTTTTTAATATTCTGTAAATTACATATACTTGGAGAGAAAGGTTTCCAACAGATAGCACCCTGCCATCCACATTGTGAGATTAGAAGGAATCCACCTCCTTATATTTATATTTATAAAAAATAAAAAAAAATCTTTTAGTATTTATTTATATTTTCAAAAAATTGTAATAAGTGTATTTATTTAAAATTTGTAATCACAAAAAAAATTGAGTTCACTTGTTTTAAAAAATATATATATTATTTTCTCATTCTTCCATCCTCTCCAGCCAACACCCACCAATCACTAATCATTATCACTAGAGACTATCCTCATCTTTGTGACAGTTCTAAGAGCAAATACGAAATTTTTACTAGGCGGATGTGTCGAGTTTGTCGCCCACATAGGTGGGGGAGAGTGTCACATTTTGCTGAATTTTCTACAACAAAGACCCCATTAAAATGAAGATTGGAGGAATGGAAGCCAATAGAATATTCTAAGACCTATTAGAGAAATTGAGAAAGTGAAGGACTCGTACATGATTTTAAGAATGTGTACATAGTTGTATCGATTGTTCTAGAGAGTAGTTTAGAACATTCTTGTAAGGTTGTGGAAAGTTTCCACGAAGCTTCTACACACCTTCTATCATATATATTTTAGAAACTTCCTAGAAGGCCAATGTTGCCCATAAAT